GTGTGTGTGTGTGTGTGTGTGTGTGTGTGTGTGTGTGTGTTTAACAAAACATTTTAAAGCTACAAGAAGAAAAACCAAGTCACCCATAAGACATCCTATAAATTGTGACACTTGATCTGTATTTACGTCCGGACATTTAAAACTCATAAACTCCCAACTTTGTTGCCATCGTGGATGTGAATTTAAATACAGGAGGAAACGCTTGTTTTCTTCATCCTTCTCCTCGTACCGGTCACTTTTCTGTTACTTACTTCAGTCATTTATTACAAAGTTGTTTTTCTTTTTGCGTGGTACTAGAGTCGTGCCCATTACTGCACCCAGTGATGTTTCTCTCTGTCGTGATGTGCTCCCATCTGGTTTCCAGTGAAAATGCATCACTCCATTAACATTGCCTGTGATCTAGAGGATGCTTTAATCTAAGACTATAAACTCCACTTAATTACATCCTCCAAAGGAGCTCTATTAGTATAATGCAATCAAACAGGGAGCACATCCATTTTGGCAAGTCAAACAAGCTCAGATGGCTCCTGAAAGTGTTTACTTTTGTCTTCGGAATCAGATCATAGAATCATATTTGGACGTTCTGTGTTCAAAGGCCTTGACTGATACTCGTGTGTTTATGGTTAAAAAATAAAATGCATTGATGATGCATATCTCTCTGCAGCAGAAACAACCGTAACAAATGAGTTTAAAAGAGTCTAAACAGACTCTCTGTGTGGCACACTGATGACTTTATGCTTGACCTTTCATGCATCTCACTTCATAACCTCCAGTCATATTCATAATTGCTGCCTGTGTGTGYGCTTCAGTCCAGCTTCCAATGCAGTCTGGCAAGATTTCTCCATGAAATTAAACTTCAAAATGAAGCAAGCTGTGGTGGTTTAAAGTTGTATACAAATAAATTTCTGTAAAAGTCATGCCTCGCAGTGACTTCTGACACTGCATCAAAAAGAAAAAAAACTTTATGTTGCAGTCTACTCATGCAAAATTACAGAAAATTTATTATGATGATTCAACTTTTTCTTTTCTCTTAAGAAAAAAAACTGTTCTGATGACTCAAACAAATAAAAAAAATGATACCAGTTAAGATCAGAAAATGTTAAATAGAAGAAGACAGGGAGATTAAACCTAAAATTGCATGTTCATTTTAAATCAATTTCCCACAAAGATTTATACTGTGAAACAGAGATATCACTGATTCATTTGTTCTTAGAACATTTTTTCTAGCCTTTATATATATATAAACTTTGGATGTTTTTGTGGCTATATTTTACTACTGAATTAAATACAGAACTTCTGTTGTCTCATTTGACACTACGTGGCCTTGTGATGGACTTGCGACTGGGTGTACCCTGCCCCTTGCACTGTGACTGCTGGATATGGACACCAGGGACCACTGTGACCCCGAAAGGAAGAAGCTGGTAAAAGATAATGTACAGATGGATGATGAGATATCAGGGTGCCTGGAAACCTATATCACAAATGAAAGACTTACATTGACATTTTTTCTGTGCTTGTTTATGTAGCTTCTTAACTCAGTTGAGGAGCAACACCTCTCAAACTGAAATTGTGGACTTGGGAACAGAACCTCTAACACAAAGCTTGTATTTAGTGTTATGTATTCTTACAAGATTTACATATGTTCAACTGGTTTGAGGTTTTTTATTACATTTGCCAAATTTATACAATTTTCTCTGACTGTTCTTTGAAGTCTGTTGTTTCTAAAAAAAAAAAAAAAAAAAAAAAAAAAAAAAAAGCCCTGGACTCCATATTTTGGATAAGAAATAAATAGATGTCCTGCTAAACTTGATTTGATTTGATACAATTTATAAAAATGTTCAGCATTTATGTGCAAAGTTTCTCCTCAATTCTTAATTTCCCTTTTTTTCCCCTGGCTTTCATATATCCACACATTTGCCTTGTTCCTACTATCTTTAGTGTGAAAGTGCACAACAGGTGGAGGACACAAGTGAAAGCAGATGATTAGTATCTGGG